TAGATAAGAAGTGTAAACGTATCTAAAAATTTCCCAGGGTTTGGGGCCCCCCTAAATCCCCATGAAATGCACTGACAGGGAACGGGGAAACAGGCATCACTGGAAATAGTTTGAAACCCTAAACACCGGAGCTCAGTTATATAACTTATCCATCTTAATTAAACAGTAATGAACAATCTTAATTTTAGAAACATTGTAAAATATTTTCTCTCAACATATCCCTAGCGAAAAAGAAATCATGTTATATGATTAAACATGATAAGATGTGTACAAACATGTTTTTTTCCTCATTGACCATGTTGGTCAATCATGTCTTATAAACATGTTTGACCATCAAACATGATTGTGGATGAAAATTACAATTTGTTCAATAAAACATCTGTATTTATTTCAAGTAATATTATAATGACTTTCAGGGAGAGGTAAAAATCATAAAGATTGTTTTTTTTCTGCAAACAATCTTACAAGAAATCAACATATTCAATCATGAATAAACATGATAAATTTATAAAAAAAAAATCAAACAAATCTCTTTTTTTTCTTGTTACTTTCATCAAATAAGTTATTCTTTTGGATAAAAAAGTATCCATACATTTCAACTTTGTGTAAAAATAGCCTTAAACGCTTTAATAATTACTGACACATTGACCCATTTACTACTAAGAGAATAACATAGTCATACATGATCAAACATGGCTGAACATGATAAATTCCAAGTTGATATTTTTTAACAAATAAGCATTTTTTAAATTACATCTTACAACAGGATTTTACTTTCTGTGAAAACACTGATAAAAAGAATAGTTTCAGTTGTTTTGTTTACAATTTTTTTATAAGAAAGCAAACATGTTTAAACATGACTGAATTTTGAATATAACAAAATTTTCAGACAGCTCAGAGCATGATTCAGCATCTCCTTGGTTATAATCCTAGAATCCATCTGCTAGGCCATAAATGTAGGTTAAACATATTGTCCCCATTTTCAACAGTTTTACAGCATTTATCGGAATATAAGATAAGCATTGATATAAAGCATCAAAGGGCACTGGGAAGGAGTAAATGTAGCAAAATTAATTAAAATGGTAAATAAAGGTGGGATCTTAATTTCAGAAGCCGGGGATTATGTACCACAATATGAGGCATAAATTGATAGTGGGATATATTACCCTTAACTGTAGCCATAAAAGCTAAATTACTAGGTAAGCTAAAAGTTTAGGTACAAAAAACACATTATGTTCCTACCAGTTACAAATATACAACACATACATGTGACAACTGAAATGGGCCAAAACTGGATTTTCAGCTGGATTTTGGGGCTCATAACTGGATTTTTTTATCGACTTAAATTTCAATGCGCGTTAAGCAAATTTGGTAGAAACCTTTTACACAAAGACCATTTTATAATAACAATGACAGAAAGTAAAAAGTAAAATTTCTATTATTTTATTCATGATCTAATCAAGCACATTTAACAAAACAAAAACATAATACTATTACATGTCCTATATTTAATTTCTAGTCACATTTCAATATCAATGTCACATTAGTTCTTTCTGGAACAATCACATTCCTTTATCAATCATTGTCATCACATCACTTCTCTTATGTCATCACATCACTTATCTTTATACAGTTGGCATGTATTTTTAACAGCAGTCATGAGTGACTTTTAGTGACTTTTCAAAAATATGCCAGGAAAGGGCTTGACAAATCATATTATTCTCCATCGTAAAATAATTATACAAAACGTGCTAAAATAATTAAAGTAAATCAAAAGACGAATAGTTTTTCTCTGACAGTGTCCTATTATCCGGACATAAACATCTTTTGGACATCACAAAATACCGCCGCGTATCAAACAAATCCGCTAATTGCAGTCAGATGGCTATTCAAAGACACACTTAACGTGTGATTTCAATAATTATTATCCAAACAAACAATCAATTATCCAATTATCCAATAAACAATATCATAAAGTGTCACTCGTTAATCCTCTCATTTGGCACACTTGGACACTTACGTCCGAGATAATCGGCACACTTTGACTTTACCGTAAGGTGCGAGATATGGAATTTTACCGACGATTTTTTTTTTTTTTTGTGAGGGACAATTATCGGGATTTCATAAGCTGATATCGGGAATCGGGATTAGGGTGTCAATATCGGGATTTTTTAAAATCCCGTCGGGATATCACATGTATGACAACAGGCAAAATAAAATATTCCATACAGGACGCGGAACTTCAGTTCGGCGAAAGTAAAAAAAAACTCAGTTAAGAATTACCAATTTTTCCATATGAAGGTTATGGTTGCAAAGCAGAGCTCAAACTCGCCATCCACCATTTATGGCAGACAAGAGTTACTGCAAATACTACTTAAACTTGAAAAAATTTAACAAAACAAAGGAAAATATCTTGGAATAGAAAATATTTTCATGAAATTGAACACCTATTCAAGAATCTGAATTTATTTGTATCCAAAATCAATACTTTTTAGTTAACATATCATTTTAGTATCTATTATATAAGACAGATTTGAAGAAGTGACCCGTAAATCACTACCACAGGGATTGTACCTATAATAATTAACACTAATTGTCACATTAAAGTTGTATTTTGTAATATTAGACTTATATTTTACTGTCTCAAACTGCGATTCAAATGATGCAATCTAAAATACGCCAGTCACTTGAACAAATATGGAACACAACTAACTTTAAAAAATGTATTTTCAGTTTGAATAACAAACACTTCTTCAATTATCTTATCTACAAGAACAACATGAACATCCTCTTCAGTTTTCATTCTTAACAGATCATGAGATGGCATCCAACATCACAAAAAGGATGTACTTGTTCTGTTATTGTACATATATGTCCAACAGCAAACAACTTCTCATCCACAATATTTTCTATGAAATATGATATAGCTAATATCACACTATCCAGGCACAAAACAGTGTAACAGTTTTTTCATTTGTTTGTACTTTTCGGAATAAAGAAATTTTCCTTTGTCTTAATATTCTGTGTGTTATTCTATAATCTTTTACATTGTTCAAACCAATCTTAGCAAGAACATAGCATTGTTCTTCTTTAGATGCAAAATTTCCTTTTGAATATTCAGTGCCAGAGGGTTTTTCATCACCTGACATAAGTTAACCAGTATTATTTGGACAAACTCTTGATAGAAAATCTAACCAACAGGGTTTGCATCAGCAATCATTTCAGTACTTTTAGTTCAGATATACAGATCTGTTAACTTGTCCGAATTACTCTTCCTTGTATTTTCATGGTCATAGAAATTGTCACACTCATACATGTTAAAGGTAGCACTCTACAGTTAATTTCAAGTTCCTCAGCCGTCAATGTCCTACAAGCAATACGTCAATCTATTCTGATACCAAACTACACAACCTGGAAAAAGAAAACACATTTTGTTGAGAACATATATGACATAAGATTGCAAATCTACAAAGAAATTATCCCATCTGCATTAGGCAGGCAGTAAAAAAAATGCAATTCATTCTGTTGAAGCCCAAAATCTACAGTGGACGGAGACCCAAAACAACACATTTCGTCCCTCTGGCAAAAATCAAATATACAGGCTAAAGGAATACCGTCTCTGCTTTAGCTACTCTCTAAACATGCAAAATATCACAAAGTAACAGGTGCTCAACCTTGTAGATTTTTTGCTACTGCTAAAAGTTGTCCTTATAAAATTAAATTAAAAAAAAATAATATGATGGACACTTGTATGAAATAACAAAAAAATTATACCCTAAAAATTTAAATGTAGACAACAAATATTATCATATCTTTATCTTAAATTGCAATTAAATAATGAATCTAGATCAGCAAATCAAATGTCACAAGTTAATTTTCTTAAAAGGAAGTGGCTAGCTGTACGGGCCCGTACGGCTAGCCAAAAGTTCTATCCGTACGTGAGTCACGTACGACTAGCCTGGACAAACTGTATTGGCTAGCCGTACGGCACTTTTCAAAAATAAATGGAAGTCGAAAATGCATATGTTATTTTGTGTTCGTACAGGCCCGAAAAAATGTAAATGAAAGAAAGTTACAGCCGGCTTATTCAAGTTATTTTATAAAAATAATTTATTTTCTCATTACAAAAATATATATTTTAGGCAAACAAAGATGAATATTACTATATTTGCCTTTTATTTGGGTGTATCTATTCTGGGTATAGGTTGGGTACTTCGTGCGGGTCGATTTGTGCCGCCGATTTCCCATGTTTCCGTAGCCAAATATCCCCATAATAACCCCTCGGAATTAATTTCATTCAAGGACGGCAATCGCCAAATATTTGCAACATTGCTTTGTTTCTCTAGGTCTTTGGTATTTTGCCTCGCGGGCAGAAACTTCATGATGTGAATTTTTTTGTTGTTGTTTTTTACGGAAGTACAAACTAGCCGGTCACTTGTTTTCTAAAATCTGATTCGACAATCACAACTTGTTCGACCAATCAGAAGCGTTGATTCATACCAAGGTGCGTAATGCACACAATCGCTCATAATGCACAAAAAAAACTTTTTGAATTTAACGAAACGGACAAAAACATCACCTGTTTATAAAATCAAATGGGCAATAGAGTTCTTTCAGTTCTCACTCGAGATAAGAGGCAACCTATACCCTCAGAAATCTAAACGGATTTACGTGATTCACAAAAATGATCCTGGAGGCTGGCTAAAATACGGAACTTACGGACTTTTCCGGATGTTATTCTAATAATAAATATACAGCTAGCAAACGGGTTGTAGCACTTACCGTGGTGTCAGAACAAAACATATTGTTATATATAATGACATTTACCTTCTTCAGCTTCTGAAAACCTCGAAATCCACCAAAATCGCATGTTTACAGTTTCTTCAAGTGTTATCTTTCTATACTTCCGGTTTAGAAAATCACGTTACCTTCAGCGCCACCTAACCCAAAGTTTATATTTAGCAACCAATAGATTACACGAATACATGTGCGGTTAGTTTTAAACGAGGGAAAAATCAAAATGGCTGAAAAATGAAAGTGCTTGTTTATTGGACTTTGGCGAACAACTGGTCGTTTGTCAGCACTGCCGCTGATCGGGGAGGGTCAATGCCTGGGACAAGAACATTTTGCAAGTTCCAGGAGAAATGGTATCCTGCTATACCCATCGCATGTAAGTTCTTCATCTGCACGCATGCTTCCGAGCACAAGGACAGTCTTGATAATTAAAATAAGATTGCTCTTGCTTTCAATTAAAATTCAAAAGGTCATCCAAAATACCTAGCAAAATGCCAGTCTTCTGGAAAGTTATCGGTCCGGACGGCCGACCGAAAATTTGGCATCTTGGCCGAAATGGTTTTTAAGGAACAATCGACCATATATCTATCTGGAAATTTTGGAGGAAATTATTTAAATTCTCATAGCCACAAAATTTCCACTTATAAATGAATGAAACTTAACTTAAAAAAGAGATTTTAACTGTTAAATTATTAAGTTTTTTTGTCATTTATTAACATTTTTTCGGATAACACGAAGTCCGGATAAGAACAAAAATAAAATGATTTATTTTGCTTATTCAAAGTCAGTGTTTCCTTTGGCAGGTTTGCAACATTTGATCATCTGGAGGATTCCTGGAGAGGTATGTTCTTCACCATCGAAGAAATTCAAAACCATAGTGCAACTGGTAAAAAGGCCAACAAAGACCAAGTTTGATCCTGCCAAATTTAACTTAATCAGCAAGCTCGTTCAGAAACATTTTGATATCAGGAAGTGGTCATTAAGACACAAAATGTGAAGCAGTTAGTATTCCAAGTGACAATGTAAATCAAGTATTGACATAATGAAAATTACTTTTGTGCTGAAAAAAAAGAAAGAAAAGAAATAAAAAAGAATTGTGTCCAGGGTTCTGATCTCAAAAGTTGTAATTTAAGTTTTACCTCATCTGAGCGTACTCGAGATGAACTTTTGTGATTGCCTTTGTCTGTTGACCTGTGCTGATGTAAAACAATGTCAGCTTTGTTCTTTTGAAAATGTTTGAACATGTTTGAAAATGTCAAATGACCCCTTGATTTGGATATATTAACATGTTCGACCATGTTATGGAATCTTTATTTGTATATGTTTAAACATGTTTAGATGTGTTTGGATCGTGGTGCCATTTAATGTGAATGTTTAAACATGTTCCATCATGTTTTGGGAACATTTTTAATCATGTTTAGATGTGTTTGACAGTAAAGTAGTAGTTACATGATCAACCATATTAAAACATGTTCTGTGAACGTTTTCAAACATGTCCAAAACATGATAGCTGGATAGAACAAAAACATGTCAAAATGTGATTGACCATGATACTCTTTTTTTGATCATCAAACATGACTAATCACGATTGTTGACTGATCCTGTTAGATCATGGTGCCATTTCACGTGCATGTTTAAACATGTTTAAAACATGTTCAAAACATGTTCAGACATTTCGAAATAACATGTAAGAACGTGTTTAAAACATGTTAAGACATGTTTCAATCATGAAATTTTCGCTAGGGATACTGACTCATTTAACAAGACAATTTTTGCGTATTAATGCAAAAAAACAAACAAAAACACACCAAAAAAACAAAAATTTAACTATAAAACATACTGATTTTTATGAAAAAAAAATGTTTATGTTAGAGAAGTATCATTACTGACAGAGATGTATGTATATTATATGTTACAAGTATCCCACACTTCAATTTTCTGACTCACAGAAACAAATTACCAGAGATATTCTTTTAACAATTACTTTAAATATTCTCAAATTTATGTCTTTTTTATTGCATGTTTTGCTATTTCTTCATATTTAAGGATTCTTCTATATGTGTTTTTTTTAATCTTAAGTATCTTTAATTGATCTTGTACGTTTAAAATTCTATCATGTACAGTGAGCCTCCATGTTTTTGTTATTTTCCGAGTTTTTATTACTTCGGCCATCTGGATTTGATTTTTCCAGCCAGATGCAGAAATCTTGTAGAAATTTGATAAAAATAATAAAGATCCATTACTGATGGACCACAATCAATTATAGATCTGATGGTTTAGTATAGAGAGATGATAATTTCTATAAACACTGGCCACACTCCTTTAAAACTTGATCCTGTAATTGGCCTATAATTGCTTCCATACTTTTCCAATCAAGTTTTAGCAGATAGAAAATATTGCAGTCTTGCACACAATTTTCATCTGGTTTTAATTTACAGGTATTAATAATTCATTATCCCCTGTAGTATTTAAAGTAGTATTTTACATCACTATATAAATTAAACAATTTTAGCCACCACTAACATGTTCAATCAAATATTGCATTTCTATTACCTCCCTTTAATAATTATACAAGCATAGCATTATTATTTTCAAAATGATTCAGAATGTTTTAGACCAAAAACAACAAAAAATACAAAGGAAAACAGTATAACCTCAGTAACCAAAGCCTTAATAATTATGCAAAATTTCCTGTTCAATTAAAGAGTGCATTTCTTATTACCTCCCTTTTATAATGATACAAAATTGTTCTTGTAATTCTGAAACGATTATAGAGTTTTTATATAAATTATAAAGGAAACTGAAAACAACCAAGGCATTACAAAAGTCTTGATATGCAAATTTACCAGAATTTAATCTGCCAATTTATCAAGTTTGAAAATTCATTGTCCTTCTATTTTAGAATTTCTCCATGAATTTCAAACAGTAATATCACAATTTGTTCATTTTTTTATTTAACAGAAAAGTGCTAGGTTTTCTGTCTGAATTGTTTCATAGAAATCTCAAATTCTGCCATGTTTCCACATCAACTGTTAACACCTTCTTGTCAGTGTTTTCAGCAAAACAGAAACTAAAATCAATGCTTTCAAAATATTTGAAGAAAACAATAATTATTGTTATGTATAATTTACTTTAAACTGTAAACACACCCAAAACTACATTTCTCGTTTTATATGTTTACAAAAAATATTTGTTTTGTTTGTTGATCAGATATCAGATAAAAAAAGTCAGTATTAAAAACATTTCAGTATTTTCAACTTTCTCCTAATCTAAGCTTAAAAAAGTTTGTTTTTGCCTTTCTTGACAATTCAGCTCATTCAATGTAATATATTTAATATTATCCAAAAACCCCTAAAAAAAGATTGACAAAAATTGTCTAATACAATAGAGAGAGATAATATAAAAACTTTATTATTCAATTATGGGCCATCAAAATAAGTATTAAATTACAGTGGCAATGGTATACACCACATAATATTATGTCAAAATTAATAACTTCAGCCATGGCATTTTGATCATGGCATTTTGATCGCTACAAAAATGTAAATCGGGTCGGTGAAAATATGCTTCATTGTAACATGTCCATGAGAAACAAATAAATTTTTCTCTCCTAAAATTGCTGGTAATTTTCAGACAATTTAATTCTAGTATGTTGAAACAAAAATGTTGTCACATTACTGAATTTATATTAGAATGCTACTTTCATACATTAATTCATACAATTTAATTCATACATTTCCTCGAAGTTTCTAATTTCTGTAGAACAGCACGGATGACACTAACATATATTTTCATTGTATTTAGTTTTCTTTCTCTTTTTATAAAAAAGATTGAATATATAAAATTATAAGAAAATAAGATTCTCAATAATCCATACATAAAAAATAATAATTTTATATAACTATTTTTTTTTAAAAAGTTTAAAAAATGTGCTTGATTAATTTAAACTGGGCATCCAATTTTTCTTTACATGAAGATTCATTCAATGGAAAACAAATGCTTTGGACATGTAGTGTTCTTCAGAGAATAATTATATTTACATCAATATTAAACGTATTATTTTTAAGACTCTTGTCTACTACAATACTGGATAAATCATGCAAAATACAATTCCCTATGATAAAATGTATTTTCCTAAACTTATATTAATTCTAAAGATATTATAATTTGATTCCAATATGTCATGTCGACTTAAATTTAACAGAAAGAAACAACCCTTCGTCATTCTGCCAAAAAAAATTCTTTTCATCTTTTAAAAAAATTTAAGGGCCTATAAATCATTATTTGTAGTTATCTTCAGTTATGACATGCTCGGGTTATTTTGTTTTTTTCCGGTTATATTTTCTATATCGGAACCGTCCAGAATGAAGGATTACGTGAAATTAGATCAAGATGAATTATCTTCTACGTCATTTCTCCGTATTTAAAATATTTTTTCTAAATGCGATTTACTCGGGTTCTATGAAAGAATGATGACAAATAAAAATGAAAAACATCGATATAAGCTTAAATTACATAATCAATTAGTGGGTCTAATGATAGTAATTCATTTACCAAGCTTTACTAATGACTTTGCCAATACAACTATTTATATTTCGTTTTTTTTTCGTTTTTAATTTTCTTGTATGCCTCTCAATCTTGATTAATAAATTTCAAATAATTAACAAGATTCATGGATTGTGATTTAATACCACCAAGGTGACAAAAAATCATTTTAATGCAAAGGTCGTGTAACAGTACGTGTCATAAATATCTCATTAATATTTGATGTTGACAGCGGCAATTATAATCAACAATTACCTGAAAAAACAAGCCGAAATTCTCTATAAGCACCTGAGTACTGAAAAAATCACAAAAAAAATATTACTAAAATTTTTTAATATTAGGCCAAAAACTTGTTGACCAAAAATTGTCACAATTAATATGATTCGAATTATTCAAAAAGATTATTATTTATTTTTAATATTTATTTCAACAGTTAACTCCGGTACTCCAGAAAATTAGTTATCTATTTAACAAATTTTAAAGAAAATTGAAACAGAACAGGAAATTCAAAATTATTAAAAGACATCTTACATAAACCTTTTAAAAAATTTATTGTTGAGTTGATGTTATTTGATCAACAATGAAAAAAAAAATGTTCTAATTTAGGACATGAAGGAATTTCTATAAAAAGGTCAATTGCTGGAACTTGTCAAAACTTGATTTACTGTCATCGACCACTATATTGTTTTTTTATCGGAACTCATAAATTATTCCTCTCCTACGGGACACAAGTAACGTGTGTTTCCATTTTTTTCTCATTCCCACATGACTTATTATTCTACCGTTCATCTAGAAAATGTGTCAATGAAATAAGAACTCGAGGACAAATATGGGTTTTTTCGTGCTAGATGTTACACCTCATCAACCTTTGTGTGACATGTGACAAGTAATGCAGGAATTCAATAAGTTAATTCTATCTCTCCGTTATATCTCCATACAAATTTTTGACAAACTGAATAAAAAAAATTCCATAAAAACTTGCCTAGTTTCGCTTCCCAAATAAAAAGGAGTAAAAAACATCAAAAATAAAAACAAACCTAAATTGACATTGAAGGCAAGTTCTATAAAAATTCAATTTAGACAAAATCCAAACTTACATAATAGAAAATCAAGAAAATTACCCGTCATTCAGAGGAAACCATGACAAGTTTATATCTCAATTATGCCTTTAAGGACTGGTAGTACAGACAAAATCAACTACTTCATCAAATATAGAACAGACTTATAATTTACTTACAATCGGGTTTTTCATTGTCTCCGAGTACGGAGCTGAATACATCCATTGTTTCTCCTATCTTACATAAACACTTTCTTCCTCTTAGAGAATATTAACATTCATGTATATTATATGTCAAACAAAACATCAGCATTCAAGAATTGCATGTCATTTTTAAAACAATATTTTCACTAATCGTTATTTTCCGCAGATTTGATTTTTTACAATCATAATGCCGATCTCATTTATATCTGTTATCTTCTAAAGAATCAAATTGTTCATAATCACTTATAAAATCTATTCTCTTTCAAAATTGCAAAATGTGGTCACTTGTGTTTATATTACATTTAAAAATGTTTGAGTTTCGTATTAAAGTAAACAGTGTCACAACAAATTAGTCTATTCAGTCGAGAATATCCGCTGTCTATCTCCGCTGGTCTGTCTCTTGTTGAAATATGCTCATTTTTAAACCTTAAAACCAACAAACTCATACACACATCTCTATCCTTGAAGCACAAAAATCATGACCAGTTCAAATTGATCCTACAATTTGATGCATAAAAGATAAGCTATGATATTTTCCACGAAGATTTTCATTCAGACTATTGATTGTATTTGAATTCAGTCTCGATGTCCTGCGAAGACCTCTCTAGTTACATAATGGCTTCCTCCAACAGTTTCTACAGAAAAAGTACACTCACACATTCATATAAATCTTGGTGAAAATAATCATGGAAATGATAATGGAAATTATCATGGAAAATAATCGTCTTGTCCTTTTTTCCGACAGAAAAACTGTAACAATCATATGCAAATGAGAGAGCAGTTTGTTATCCTAGAAAACCCCAGAATTGTCGGTCATATATACAAACTCATCATCATCGTACAGTTATTTATATGTCAGAATAAGTATAACTCGAGTAGAGCACAAGCATTATTCCCTCTCTATAGCAACATGAAATTCTCATAATTTGTCAAATGTCATTACCTTCATCTTATAATATCATTTCTTTTTTCTTTTTTTCCTTCCAAAAAAATCCACAGCACAGTTCATTTAATGTCACTATATTCCTGCAAAGTTCGTACAAGATGCAAAAACCCTCTATTGTGCAACAAACTTCCACCAATTGTTTTTTATTGCCTGTACAAGGTCTCCCAGACTCTCCTGATCTGTGCAGAAATGCTCAATTTAAAATTAATTGGAAAACATCACTTCAATTAAAGTCCAATCACTGAATGTAAGTCTGTTTTGTGATTGGAGAAAACTTCTCTGAAATTCCCCTGATCCTAAGATCTAAACTTTTACAACTTTTACAGTTTATTCCAATGCCATAAGCCTCTCAGCAACTGATAAGCCCTCTTGGCTTTTCCTGACTGTTATACAGTAGAAATGAGTTCCCCTCAATCTAGATAACCCGATCACACATGCCATCAAGGTTCTGGTTGGACGCTCTGGTATTTTCTCTCTGCTTAATTTCCGACAAAATATAACCTCATTCAACACATTGTACTGACAATCATTTTCTACCAGTCTCTGGCCACTCAAATGCTTTTAAGCAAAACAACTGTGTACCAAAACTTTTTATCCGTTCCAGTTTACAGAGATCATTGTGCTTATATTTTAATGTTGTTGTTGTTTTTTTTACACATCTACATCGTGCACATTATAACATTATAATGTTTTCTTATGATGTAATAATTTATAATATAATTTGAATATCTTAATTTTTATTATTCTGTTAATGTCTTCTCCTTTTTTTTTCATCACAAAAATTAAGAAATAGAATATGTTAATGGTTTATTAAATGGATACAATACAGTATTTCAGCTTTATCTAACTTGGAGATGTGCAGAATTTGAAATTTATACTGGCATTTTACATAAATTGGTAATTTTGGGTTGTTTTTGCTGCTTAAAAAAACTGAACTTGCATTTTGATGCAGAACAAATTTTTTGCATAGTGAAACGCAACAGTGAGTGAAAGCGCAATAATAAAAAGGGGAGGTAACGAGACACATTTCTCGGCATCAAGATTCTCTTTATAAACATCTTCATACAATGCTAAATGATTTCATAATTAAATAATGCAAGCCCCCAGTAAGTTATGGCTCACTAGCAGAGTGAAGTGCTCATGACCAAAGCTATTCCCTGCCCTGAAAGATTTACGACTTTATGTAAAGTTATAAGCAGTGAATGATAGTTTGTAGCCATATGGGAATTGTCAAAACCTCAAAAAAAATTGTAGATGTTTTAGTTATCACGTCTGCATCTCTACTGGTAACTTGAAAATGTGATCATCCTGATAGGCCATACAGAAAACATATAAATCTGATTGCGTTGAAACATTCAGATTACGAAAAATTTCCTATCTGAGACAATTTTTCTAAAAAAAATTTATATAATGTAATATTTTTCACAATCAAATAGCTTGGAACATCTATTTACTTCATTTCCTGCCTCAATACAAGAAGGACATTAATTTACATTCTATACAAAACTGGTCTAGACTGTCGTATATAAGAAGACCTCTGTCTATTATGTCTATTAGAATTCCCTGCTGTCGGATACAAGTTTAATATTCCACCTAATGTGCTCCTATATAACATCAAATGAAGCATCTTTTCTTCTAATTGTACAACTTTGGTGCAATAGCAATTCTTTTTCCTCATATGTTTTCTTTAATTTCATTTTTTTATTAATTGACATAAATTTTGATTATTTGATTTTGAACAAAGTTTTGACCAATGGTCTAAGCCAATAGTAGTATTATAATAAACCAAACAATTCTCAGATGTTGCAACAGAACATAATTGCAAGACTTTTTCAAGGCTTAAGTCAACTGTAATTGTCAAAAACTCCCAAAATTGCAAGACATCCAATTCTGTAGTTCCAAAAGTATTATTGTCAAAATTTGACATCTATATTTTGACATTGTGTTTCCATGGCATCCCTAAACACAAACATATTTCTGTTTCACAATTCATTCGAAGTAAAACCCATCATCAATCAGACAGATGGTGATTCTGTCAGGGTTGTACTGTAGTTCATGAGAAAATGATTACAAAATGTGAAGCAACTTTACTTGTTTTTGTGTATCCTATGGAGACAATGTTCTTATTCTGCATTTGTATTTGAGACTATCATTGTTGTTTTTTATTGTAGATATAATAGGAATCTGAGCTTCTCTAGACATATTGTAATTACTAAATGCAAGACATTTTAACTTTTAAAGTCTGCAAGCAGATATGGTAAGAATGATGTCTATTTGGCATTTATATGGATTTAAATTTGATTTTCTAAAAGAGACTTTTAGTGATGGTATTAGATGGGTTTTTTAAATTCTTGGCTTATACAGCTTGACTACATCCATCAATTATTCTGATTGGCTAATTAAAATCCAATTATCCATCTGTATTAATTGCTCTCACAAGACATTTTGTGGCTGTAGATATTCGAAGCCATTTTACAAAAAGCATTTTAATGTGCATAAAATAAAAAAAGACTTGAAATTCATTAAGCAAATTGGTCTTTAAGTTGACATTTAGTGATTGGATATTTGGAATGCTGAAACTGTAATAAGATTTATGAGGAAGTAAACCTTTGCTTAGTTCAAACTTGAGAGCAACTTTATAGTTTATGAACCTTTTTGAACTATTCTCTAAAAGTTCTAATGTCACATTTCTTTAACATTGTTATAGTTAACAGATGCAGTGTGACATTGAGCAGGGTATTTTCAAATGTAATTATTTGTTACAACCAGGCTATATAGATGATACAGATAATAATTACAACACCTGCAATATTATTATCTAACATGGTGCATGTATTATTATACCATCTGTCCGTCTGTCTGTATGTCTGAACCACAATTTATTCTTTCGATATATAATATGACTGTTTTAAAATTACCACAATAATATTCATGAGGACAACCCGGACAACCCTTTCAGTAGCATATTCATTTGCAAAAAAAGCACACAATATGGAAGACTAAACCTTTCTTCCAAGTATCTCTATTTTATATATATAAGTAAAGATCTATGAGCTATACATTAATGATCAAAGATAAATCAGAAACACTAACAGTAAAAGTAAGAACAATGGCATTACTTAGGATAAAGTATCATAAAAAGTCAGTATAAAAGGCATTTAGTGATGGTAATTTAGAAAATGAATATATGGACAAAATCATCTTGCAAATGTCATTCTTTTAGCCATTTGCGAAACTGTATTCTTTAAGCCATTTGTTAAACTGTATCCTTTCAGCCATTTGTTAAACTGTATTCTTTAAGCCATTTGTTAAACTGTATTCTTTCAAATATTTGCTAAATTGTATTTTTCAGCCATTTGTTAAACTGTATTTTTCCAGCCATTTGTTAAACTGTATTCTTTCAGCCATTTGTTAAACTGTATTCTTTCATCTATTTGCTAAACTGTATTTTTTCAGCCATTTATTAAACTGTATTCTTTCAGCCATTTGTTAAACTGTATTCTTTCAGCCATTTGTTAAAATATATTTTTTCAGCCATTTGAAACTAGTCATTTAAAATAAGCTGACCCAATGACAACTTCTCCACATGAAAGGCTAAGTATTAAAGTGGGGGATGCTATTTCATCTGCAGTTTGCATAACATTTTTGCCTTGAATACTTGCCACTTTAGAAGCTCTTGCTATAAATTAAGACTGGGCGGGCTTATCAACTCATGGAACAAGTGCCAGTAATTAGGCATAATTGAATGTTTCAACCCAAATTTACACAGATTTTATTGGTATAAAAACCAAAGCTTGTATGTTTTTTTTTCTTGTTTTTTTTTCTTCTTGCATTTTCTTATTATCATATGGGAGAATACTGTAAAATATGGGTTAAATTTTATAATTGAAAAAAAAAATGATGTATTTTTACTACCTGTGAATTGTTCTCTCTTTTGAAAGAAATTTTGCCGTAAGAATTTCTGGCAATACAAGAAAAGAAAAGCCGTAAATCTAAATTAATCAAATCTTCAAAAAATAAATTCCAGCACTATGATAAACTAATTATGATGTTATTATTACAGGGGTTTATTACAGTAAAAAATGGACGTGAAGTCTCTAACTGCCGCCAGTGTACAGTGATCAACTGGTTGTGATATAACACAGAAGGCACGGAATCACGTGCTGTAGCTAGCCTACATGGCTCCTTATTACACAGCATCATAAAGTTACATCAATCTTGCCTGAAAGGTGATCTTTAAAATACCCTCAACTTCCTTTTTCATTAGCCAAATCTTATAAAAAATCTACTAAATCTTAAACCAGGGTGTAATAAATAGCACATTTTTGGCAATTAACAGCTAAGAATAAAAAATAACCCAAAGAAATCAAGAAATTCTAACCATTCTCATTTCATATGATTGAAACAAAATACAAGTTCAAAGAGCTACTGCTGTTAGTGTAAAAAAAAATCAATTTATCACAGTCAAATTTTAAGAACTGATAAGTCATTCTTAAGTTCAAATTATCATCTGATATGAACAACAAAATATGGTGCACAATAAAATACGGTGCCCGAGTACGGACATAATTAAATTTTGAACACTGTTTTGATATACTAAATTTCAAAAATACGTCAAAAATTTCTTTATAAACACATCATTTCAAGTCTTTTTGGAAATTTAATATATTCAGTGTTATAATGGACTTCAATTTCTAAAGTACCTGCTGGAACATTTGACCACTATATCATACACTATAGTCAGTGCATTACTACATGTCCAAGCAGTATGTCCAGGCTCTGACCATACTAATTTGTATTTATATTTTGAAACCCCTTTCTTTATACTTAGAATGGACTGTTCCACAAATTCGGCAGAGTAAAGATTAAAAAAAAAAGAAATGAGAATTGGAATCATGTGACAAAGACGGAATAATTTATCGCCATATGCCGCTGACGCCCCCAAAAAAGTCTCCACGATTCCAGCCCTTTTTCTTTGTTTCTCCGCAAACAGCCATGTTAAGGTATCAAATTATCATCTCCCAATGAAAATAAATGGTTCAGATTACCAAAATTCATTTCAAAATTCTGGCTTGTAATAGAAATAATTATAGGCTTTTTTTAAGATCAATCGATACCAGCAGTTACTGACAATTACAATGAATAGAATGTTTTTACATTGTCCTAGTTTTGTTCTAAGTCAATTTAACAGAAACAATTTTCATGTAGAATAACTCTTTTGGAGATTTTATCAAAGTCATCAGAAAGATTCCTAATAAATCATTATCATATTCAATAAAACTAGAAATGTGTCATCATGCCACGGATGCCCCCGCATGCAGCCAAAATTTCAGATGTTATAATATTTAGTTCCAAATTTGTTTGCACAAATTATTTTTTTCATTTGCAGTTCAAAGCCCTTAAAACTTTTCAATGTTAACACAAACCATTTTCATACAAT